TAAAGTGGTCTCCATTCATGTGAACATGAAGATCTCTTCAGATTGCCAGATTTCACACACATTTTAGGAGCTGCCTGACAAAGAGACTTTGAAAAAAATCTACATATATGCACAACATAGTCCTAACAAACAGCTTAACAAAAACTCCTAAACTTAGATGAGAGAGAGCCGTTTAATTTATTAGCAAGTGAGAATATACATCTCATGCATCATAGTGCAAATCAACAGTTTAACCACTATATTCAAAACACATGTAGAGTACATGCACTGGTATATACCAATACCAACCTCTAACATAAGATTACTATGTTTGACATACACATTTTCACCCTGTATGCGTTTAATCAGACTATTCTGAAAAAAGTGAAAGAGAAAGGGAAATGTAAGGCCCACAATATTCAAAGGATACAAAATAGGCAAAATTGTGATTATGGTGCCGCAAGGAAGAGCACCGACTGATTACACATGTGCACCTGGATTTCACCCACCTGTGCCTTGAGATCTCCTTCTTCTTCCTGATCCGACTGTGAACACAGAAGAACACACTTTACTAATAAAAATGACTTCATGGCTGCAATAATTGTAACAGTGCTTCATATCTGTAATCTCTGTCATCTTCATGATAACCCTGATTTCTTGTGGGTACAAACCTCTATTATGGATTAGAACTGCCCTGTTTGCAAAGGGCTGTTTAAAAATGTCACTTTAGGAGGAATTACATGGAAGTATATGAAAAAGCCTGCATCTGCATGTGGCACTAACACAGGGGAATCATGTTATAAATATTTCCAGTAAGATAATTCCCAAAATGTACAAGACTGTACAGAATGCAGTGCAACTTCAGATGCTCAGTTAATGCAAAGGAACTCTTCTCTGTTTTGCAGAATGTTCTACAGTAAAGGAATTTGCATACTATACTTTTATTTTATTTAGTGGGGGTTTAAAATACAAAGATAATGTCAAGACACTGTTAGAATATGACTATTCAGCAGAATGATTAAACACAGAGATACAAGTTACATTCTATGTTCTTGAATTAGGAAGGAAACTGTAACTGAGAAACCAACCAATGCATTCATTATTATACTCATGCTTTGCTATTTCCTTCTATGCACTATATATAGTTAGCATTGTATGTAAAGGAAGCAAACAAACAACCAAGTCATGCAACAATGAATATTTGAAACACTGAGTTGTCCAAAATGTTTCACATTCTAGAATACCCAGTCACCAGAATGAGAAAGGCTGAAAGCACTAGGCTTGATTCTCAATAGCTGGGAGAAGGCTGCTGATCTTATTATAAGCACGAAGTATTACAGCTCTTTACTTTTCTCAGAAATGATCGATCACCTTTCACTAAAGGCAAAATCTGCCGCTTATCTATCACACCGAGACTCAATTGAGATGTTACTGTTCTATGTATAATTATCAATTACATCAAGATTATTTTTTTAAAGTAATACTTGGCAAGGTACCCTTGATTTTCATCAGGATATCAGTACACTGGGAGAGGAAGTTTGACAGAGGTTTAAAGAAATACAAAAACCGAAATACCCCACCCATGCCTGCTGCAATTAGCCTTCAAAAAACACTCTTCTTCCAAGGCTAAGTATAATATGGGTGAGCAATATCATTCAGGAACATGGCTGGAGACGGAAGGGCTACACCTCTCTTCTCTGCATGCTGTGGTTCTGATGAAAACTGGACCCTCCTGTTTCTAGTATTAATTTTTTTAAATCCCCTGAAGCAGTTGCAAACTATGCATCTGACACATAACGTCTCAATTGATCCTCAGTGGCTTGGTCCTCGCTGCAAATGCACCCAGGCCTTCATGTTCATGGGCATTCTGCTAATCATTCTAGACATGGGTTCCAATGCATGAATACAAAATACATGCTCACTCCGCAAATTATGTCAAGCATACACTTTTGCTTTCAAAATGATAGCCAGGTGAGTCCAATCCTTTTCTTGTTGCCATTTGTCCTTTGCAGTGAAAAGCTGCAAAAAAACCCATCACAGCCTTCACATATGAAAAGCGTGTATGTTTTCTGTAGTCATGCATCAGATGCTCAGTTTCATTAAAAATGTACACATTAGTGCTTACGTACAGATCTGATGGGTGAAGGTACATGCTAAACTTTTCAGCAATGTTGTGACAGCAACTGTACAAACCTCTGTAGCAGTGGTTTCACCATCAGCTGCAGTATCTGTCCTTTCACTGTCGGTCTGTTTTGTTGTACAAGTAACCAGGTTCCAACAGGTAAGCAAGAATAAGAAGAAACCCAGTTTGTAAGTAAACACAGTCACAGATTGATTTGCCAAGTCTACATCCCTGTGAACTGCACTTGAGTTGCTTTTCAGAGAATAAACATTAAAAAAAAGCAACATCAGATATAAGCAGACCAGACTCAGAGGAAGACTCAAGGTTTACTGTACAAAGCTGTATACTGTATTAAAGCTTTAGCAGCCAAACAAAAATATGTGTAATTGTAGCTTTTAATTCTTCTAAAGAAAGCCAGGTGGCTTTAACAAAAATCAGAAAGTTTGAAAAGTAAATTTTGCCCCCAGAAATACACAAAAAGAAAATCAGGTACACTTTTAATGATACATTAGAAAATATTGGTAGTGTATTCATTTCATATTTGAAAAAGAAAAGATAGAAATAAGTTTGTTTATATATACGGCTACTTTATCAGTCACCTGACTTTCAGCCCCTCATTTGTACATATTTTATTTTCTTCATGTATATAAGGCCTATAAGACTGTCTGCATTACTAAATTGTTTTAACAGACATGATCAAACATAACGGAACCTGCTGCATCCTGCCTTTGAATTACAATTTGCAACCAACATCTGTAATTGCTCAGACAGAGATGCTGATACTAAACTGTAAAGGAGTATTTTCAAAATAAAAGCAATACTTTCATTCCAGATTACAAAACATGACAAATATTTTAAAAAAGAAAATTATGACATTTAATAGATACAAATGATCAAAGTGAAACAAAGCACAGCATTACCCAACCTAATCTATTGGTGATTTAGTATATATTGAGAACACCTTGGTTAATAGTGCCTGAAAATGGATTCACGATAGGTAGAATAAATTTAAAATAAATGTATGAGGTATTGGGATGGGGTTAAGGAAATCTCTCTGATTTTACAAATGGTCCCTGTAAAAGTAAAGCTTATGGGCAGTTTAGTGCCACATAGAACTCCTGGTTTGAAAGCTGCAGATTCTGCTACCATCAGTAATATATCTACGAGTCATGGATAACTTTATTGTAAGATTATGTTAAATGCATTCTGAAGTTCTGAAGAACTATGCCCACCATGAAGTACAAATAATATTCCAAGAGTGTGAAATCTTCTGACACCTTTTAAAATTGTCATGCAGGAACATTGGTAAACGTTTGAGAAGATATTCCTAAAAAAATGAAGAGAGCCGTTCTACATCCAGCCAAGTTGCACATTGTACACTAGCAGGCTGAGACAGATTTGTTTACCCAGCAACTTCCAGCTCATGACAAACTGTTTCCATGAAGTGATTGCCATGTGCAGAATCAGATTCTTTAACACCCCAGAACTGCCTAAAATATGGATTTGCAGTGCCATGCAATAGAGGGTGTCTAAGGATCAAACTAGGAGCTATGTTAAATATACGGATGTGTTGTGTCTTTCTTTTGCATCTGAAACACCCCTTTTGTTTTGTGCTACAGTCCCAACCAAAAAACACCCTGCAAAAACACAATGAGCTTTGGGAAGAGCTGCCATTGGTGCCAAGAGCAACTTCCCCCTTATTTGCAGTACAAATAACTGGGTGGTGGCAGTGAAGGAGATTGTTATTGGTTTGGGGCAAGGGTTAGCTCCTTTCCCCAAGTGTCAATTCCTCATTTGATCCCACAGTTTCCACCCCTCCCACTGCCCTTTAAGAACACTGCATAGATTTAACATATTGTCTTGTTTGGTACTTTGGTCAGTTTTAATTTGTGGGCCTGGCCTATATATGGAAAGGAAGAATCTTGCATACTTCTTTCAGCTAGTATTGGGGGTGCCATTTGTGAATGTTTATGCAAACAAAACTCACAATAAAAACAAAAATTCATCACATATAACGAAGACAGACTCACTGTGCTTACTTCCTACTTAAGGGAAGAGTTGGATGGCATTTTTTCACTTAAAAACAATACCGAGAAACAAACACGTGTAGTAACTGGGTGGGAAGTAGTACCTTCCATTCTGTTCCATTCTACTACATGTGCAGACCAGATCAGAGTGAAACCTGGGTAGAATTTCACACTTGCCCATTTTTTGTTTGTTTGTAACACGTCATAATGTTAAACTTCTTTTAAACACACACAAACCTGCACACACGCACGCACGCCTGTTCCAAAGATGAACTATCTGTTGCATCCCTGGAAGGGCCGCTGCTGGGTATTATGTATTTGGTTTCCATTATGGAAATACACTGCATACCCATCAAGTATGAGGGGTGCATGCACATACAAATGTACTGTGTCACATTGTGTCTTGGCCTATGCTGGGACCCTATGCACATGTATCTGAAAGGGGGATATACCAGAACAATAACCTTCCAGCACAGACATAAACTTAACACTTGAAAGGCACTATGCACATATTGTACCCAAGAAGCCATACCAGAATATACTATGCTCAGGAATGCAGTCCAAACATTTTCTAAGCATTTTCTAACTTTATTTCCCTGGTCAACACTCATTATTTTTGTGCGAAAACAAAAATTACATTTTTAAATGAAGCTTGATCAGCTCAGCTGTGGCAGCCATTCCCGTTTAATAGGAAACAGTATTCTCCGTGGTGGGATGCCTCACACGGGTGCATAGTTAAACAGCTACAGCAGGGCTGGGGAGGACAGCTCTGGTCCAGGAGTCCACAGCATGCCTAGACATACCCCAAATTAAGATTTTGCTACATCATCCGATATTTGATCAAGATGTCAACCCGCCATACAGTTTACTTAGCAAGGCAAAGTTCAGTATCTCTTCTTTCAATCAATATACTTTCACTGAAGTATTTTAGTACAGTGAGATTCAATCACACTAACAAAAGAGATCTGTATATAAAAAGCCACTAGACTTCTAATGAAATCATCTATTCTGTTGCTAACTATTTATTAAGTTTGGGGTACATGTTGGAATTAAGCAATTTTATAAAACAAAACTAATTTGAACATAGTAGGCTGCGATCCTATGCACACTTATCTGGCACTAAGTTGTACTGAAATCAATGGGGGATTTATAAGTTGATGTGTGAAGGACTGCATTTATGAATTTCAAATGTGTAATTAACATTCGACTATCAATAATTAACATTCGACTATCAATAATTAAGATATTTCTCATTTGCAAATTATATATTGTAACTCTTAGACCCTACATTTGGTGGCCTTGATTCTATGAGAGTAATATTAACCATTATCTTAAATGTGCCTACAGTACAGGGTCCTAGACAAACTGGTGACCCGAGTATGGAATAATTAGAATAATTATTGTAGGGTGCAGGTGACTTCTGGTTCTGGTTCATTTGTCAGGTAAGCAAAGGCTAGACTCTGGATATGCCTGTCTCCCTTTAATAACTTTTTGCAAATCACAAGGAGAAGCACTCCCAGCTGGGAGTGTCCCAAACATTATGCAGAATGCAGTTCTCTCCCACAAATGTCTTTAATGTAGTCCTTCTTTTGTACCTTTGTGGATGACTTCTATAACTGTAATCACAATCTTCATGCTTAACTGCAAGTGTGTGGATTAATCACACACAGGGACTAAAATACAAACCACACATGTATTAATGCAGTGAAGATAGGAGGGATGAGGAAATGAGATTTTAATGGCCACCAAGATTAGTATTTTCTAAGATCAGGAAGTTAAAAATGAGGATAATCACCGACCAGCTTGTATTTCGAATGATGTACTACTGCTGGAACTGACAGACAGAAATGGGGTTTTCCAAGAAAATGTAAAAGAGCTTTAGAATAAAAACCACCCCCCAACTGCTGTGTTTTGTTTTGCTGATGTAATGCAGACATGCCCAAGTTTAAAATAAATTTTCATGCAATATGTCCGACAAGAAAAGCACCCTGGATTAGGCACAAGTCTGTGTAATCTATCACAGAAGTACTGGTCCTGGGATCAGTTTAGTTCACAGATAATGCTATAATTTGGTGTTACATTAGCAAGCTTGAAACTTGTGTGCTTTCTGCTCTTTTCCACTACCCCTACAATTCAGTTAGTTACTTCTGCTTTAGTGAAGATAATTTTATGACATCTGAACTGGAAAAATGTGCTTTGCACTGGCTCTCCAAACTAGGATCGCTAACTTCACAACATGGTTTGCAATCCTGGTTTGAAAGACAAATGCAAACTATAGCTTGCTAGTTGAGATGTCATAAGAAACAATTATCTACAGTGAAGCAGAAGTAACTAATGGAATTGGAATATCAGAGGGAAGGGGGGAGTGTGTGAACATGGTGAATTCACACAGAAATGTATCACAGTTTGATGGTGTATCTGACCCAAGTCAGTCTCAAAAAACCTATCTCATCCAGCTCAATCTTAAGCATCTATGTATGTGTGCATGCATGTATGTATAAAGTCACACAGCAGGTCTTACTGTCAAGCAAGTTTGCTTTAGACTGAAATCTAGAATTCATTTTCAGATTATCATTTATTTGGTTTACTAATCCTAATGTTACAAACATGAAAATGCAACCAAATTTACCTAAATATTGTTATATTTTGCTTGGAGAATACAATACATTAACACAATTTTTACTACTCATTGTAATTCACAAGTTAGCTTAAATGGCCAATTCTGTGTCACGTTTTATGCTAGTGAAAAGCACTGAACAGATCCACGAGTGGGCAATTTTTTCTGTTAAGTTGCAATGTCTAAGAAAAAGTTTTATGGATGATTTATTGCCTTTTTAGTCTACTTCCTTGCTAAATGTATTGAAAGGGGCTATTCACTATAATTATAGGCATTATTTTAAAATGCTCAAAATAAATATAGGAAGCAACCATTTTTTGCAGCAAATGAAGCATAGCACATGGTACCTTGAGAGAACTGGTAGTTTTCTTGATTAGTGAATGGGCTGTTAGTTGGATTTGCAGTAGCAAAGCTCTTATGACAGTGAAGCTCCTTATCCATTGCAACCTATACCGTGAGCTTTGCGAGAGTTACCCATGAC